TAATTTGTTCCCTATTTCATAAATATGCTATATATATCTAAAACGATAAATATCGATTTTGTAATTTACCTAAGCATAACTCGAGAAGTATATCAAATTCGATAGATAAGTTGATGTTAGAGTTTGAAAAGCTTGACTATAGCTAGCGAACTAGAGAACTTTGTGATCTATTGTGAAAACTTCTGAGCTAGGTTGCCCTGTACTGAGAGCAGGGTAGATTACAGTCGGACAGTTTGCACTTCATTTTTTCATTGTGTGTGGGAAAATGTTATAAGTTCATGGAGAATGGCTCGAGGTTGTTGGCCATTCTAAACTTGGTACAATGGCTATTGAGATCTTTACTTTTCTGTCTTTCTTTTTGCTTTTCTCTCTCTCTCTCTCGCTCTATCTCTTTCTCTTTCACTCTCTGCTTTATCTCTTAAGCGTTGCTGCCTGCTCTCGCGCTTTCTTTCTCTGCCAGCCGCTCTGCAAGGTGCTTGAGACAGCAAGTTCGTTACAATACAAAAACAACAAACACACACACACAGCCATACACACACACGCACACTTTGGTTATATTTCAAACATCTCCAGTTGCCTGTTCGTCCGTCTTCCTTACTGATTTTTATCTCTCGCCAAATGATTTGCGTGAGCTTTTGCATATGGCTCACATTGAATTTCACAAATGTTGCCTGGCTACCAGTGGGCGGCGGCGGCGGCGGCTCCAGACGCCTGTGGGGAGGCGTGGTCTCTGTTTGTGCCGCCCAAATAACAAATTGTAAATAGCAGCGCATAAATCGATTACCTTCGTCGCGTCTTCGCCTCATCCTGGCCACGTTTGGCGTGGAACATAAATAAAGCATTTTTAATATGCGCGTAAGCAGTTTTTCTTTGGCATGCCCTAGACTGGTAAGCAGCGGGCATATTGGCGAGGCAGTGCACGAGGTCATCAAAGAAAGCTCTAGAGTATCTGCTAGTCGAGCACACCATATAAAGTGCACAGCTGCTTTACCAGCTTCACAGTTGCCATAGATACCAATGCCCTGAGCCATGCTTTATATTTCCTCTGTCTATATCTACATAGCTATAGGGTATCTGCTAGTCGAGCATACCATATACCCTGCTATATGCTTTGTTACTGTGCCCTTTACCACTTCCTTTAGTTTTATAGATATATCATAAATCTCTCGATGTTTATTTGTCTATTTAATTTGCTCTACAGGGCATCACCAAGTCGTACATACCCCATGCTAAAACATCGTAATTTCTTTTTTCTGCGCGACGTAGACGCGTCGCGTTGACTTTCCATTGATTTCGCTTGTTGGTTTTTTGCTTTGCTTTGGGGCTTAGACTATAATATCGCGTATAGGGTAAGTGCGCGCCTGCCACGCCTCCTCGCCCACCTGCTGCCTACCCGAATTGCGGGTTACCCTTACTTTGAGCCTTTGAGCAAGGATTTAATTTTATTACCTTGGTGCGTCTCCTGTTGACTTATTATGCTGATATGATTAAGTGGTTACGCGAGAGCTACTTGAAGTTTGGCTTGGGCTGGAGCTAAGCGCCGCTATGGGGGCTAAGCGGGTGGTTACGTAGGGGTAGGAAGTTGTCTTAGGGTTGGTGGTGGCTTGCTTAAGATTAGGTTGAAGCTAATACGGTGGAGAGCTTAGGTGAGATGCCTACAAAAGTGAAATTGGCTTTTTCTTAAGGTGCAAAGCGTGGAGTTTAAGAAGGAAGGAAGTTATCGTTATCGATTAAGAAAATAGAGATATGATGTATACCTAAGGGTGGTTATATTAAAACAAAATAAAGAATCAAGTTTTTTTTTGTGATAAAGACAGAGCTAATATTAAAAGATTTATCGTTATCGTTATCGAAGTTACAGATATTTAAATGGTCATAATGCTAATCGCCTAACGGGTTAAGTGAAGTAACATCAGCTAACAGCTATTGCTATCGCTATCGATCAGCAGCTATCGATATATGCAATACATAACAAATGACTCGAATGTTATCGTTCAGCAAGGTGTTGCTGCTGCCTTGGCAGACTTTCTCTAATGGCAAGCCAGCAAATGTTATCGTTTATCGTTTATCGACCCGCTGCCAAATCTATTTAGCTGCACGTGCGGCGTGTTATTAAATTCCATTTTGATTTTTATTGAATTTAATTTTTCAACTAACTTTTTGTTCAAGCAGCTCTGCTGGATAAAGATATTGGCCACACACACACACACACACACACACCCACACAGGCCCTCCTTTTTGGTCGAAAACAGAGCGAAGCAGCGAAAGAGGAAGAGAGCCAAGTGGAGGCAGCAGAAGCAGCACTTTAAATTTGCTGCCCTCAACTCCGGCAACAATTGATTGAAATTAGATGAGCTTTTCATAATACACAACTTACCTGTAGGTGTAGCTAAGCAGGTGTGTGAAGGTGATTGTGTGTGTGTGTGCGTGTGCCCTTGTGCGTTTTTCCATTAAGGTTCACTTCAGCCTTCCCACCAGCTCCTCAGCTCAGACTCAGTTTCACCTGCAGCTCTAGCTCTCGTGGAAAAAACTTGGTCTAGTTCTTAGATCCTGACGTCGAGGACAACGCTAATATCCTTTTTGCCGTCTGCCGGCTGCCAAATTGGTTATTAAAAGAGTCAACTAGTTGCGGCTCACAGCAAAGCCATAAATAAATTGAGTGCTGGTTAGGCCAAGGTAACTACATCGAGGGAAGATGCCAACGATTTAACTTCAACAACTTTAAGAGTTTCCACTTCTCTCTCTCCCTCTGCCCCTCCCTCTCTCGCCCTTCCTCCCTCTCGCTCTCTCGACTTTACTTGAAATTTTAGCAAACTTTTCCTCGTCTCCCGCCCCCAATTATACAGCACTTGAGCCAAAAATGTGCGCACATATGTACGTTTGCTCTGCTTTACGCATTTTCCATAAGCTACTCTGGCTGCCACGCCCCACGCCCCCTCTATTAGGCAACTCTTTGTGAATACCTCTGCAAGTTCAGGGCGCTGAGGCTTATAACGAACTTGGCAGCAGGCAACAATTTTGTATGGGCGAAGTGCACTTATTTTTGGCAGCAGGCATCAATCATGATCTAAATGCATTACCAACACCAGTCGAGCTACAATGCCTGACTACGAGATACCCTGTAAGCGTTTGGAAAGCTCACTGAACTAAATGGAGTTCAGTCAACTTCGTAATGCCATAGCTTTTAGACTAATTGCAATTATTCTGTAAGCAAGTATTGGTGGCAGTGCCTGATTATAAAATACCCTGTAAAAGCAGTTTATGCTTCATTCTGGTCTCATTTTATTGATATGCTCTTAATACTAACTTACAGCACGATGTGCATATGTATAAAACACCCTATAAATGATTGCAAGGCTCTATTTCGTAATGCTTGACTAGAAAATACCCTACAGAAACTAAAAAACTATTGAAACTGATAGAAATTCTGTTATTTAGGCCACTTTCTTCATTGCTTGCTATTTGTATTGACGGCAAGCAGTAATCACTGCAGTGCTTGACTATGTTATACCCTGTAAAAGTAATATTCAAGCTCTGTGAGTGCTAAACTAAGTTGTAATCCGCTTGAATGCAGCTATAACGATGCCAAGAAAATACAGGGTATTTATTGTCTGATGGACGAGCGGTTCAGCATTAAAGAGACAAAGACTTAACTTTGGAGTGGAAGAGAGCGAGTGAGTGGGTAGATTTGTCTCAAGTCCAAATATGTTAGATATTCCGCATAAAGCTGCTTAGCCATGCGATAAGCTGTCGAACTAATTGGGCTAATTTGCGCAGTTACAAAGGGCTCGAAGGCTAGCGACGAGGGTGAGGCAAGAGAATTTCGCTCAACAGCAAAAAAAGAGGTAACGAATTCTCGCGAAATTAGTGCTGCACGCGCATCTTAAGCTTTGACACTGCCCGCCCTTTGGGTGGCATTTGGATACCAGCTACCCCGACCTTCCCCCCTCCCACCATCTTTGCCAACCTCCGATTCCCCAATGCTCAGCTCACAATCTGCGAATCTGCGACTGGGACGCAGCTTCATTATTTCGCACTAATTAACGTTTTGCGACAAAAGGTGCGCTGTATTTATTTTATTTTATTATTTTTATTTTTATTTTTATTTTTAAGCAATTCCCTGTAGCCAGTGGCACTGTGGGGTATGTTGCAAATGAGACAGCATAAAAAATAAGTATTAAATAATTGAAAGGGTTTCAATTTTGCCCTGAGGCTGGGGTCTTAAAACGGACGAACTAACTGATTGATTGATTGATTAACTGATTGATTGATTGATTAACTAAGTGACAGGCTGATGGTGAGTTCATTGACTGACTGATTAACTGACTGATTGATGGATTGATTGAATAATGGCTGATTGAATAACTGACTTATGAATTAACTGAACTTATTGAGCGACTGATGGCTTGGCTCATTGATTGACTCATTGATTGACTATGAACTGATTGCTTCACTTACTGATGGCTGGATCTTTGATTCACTGATTGATTGATTGCTGGCCTGATTGATTAATCATTTGATAGGTTGACTAATAGCTGATTGATTGATTGACTGACTGATGGCTGATTGACTGATTGACTAACTGAATAATGACTTATTGATTGACTCAAGAATGATGGTTGGATCATTTTCTAATCACTGATTGATTGACTGATCACGCTGCTGATTAACTGACTGATAGACTGAGCGATTGATGGCTGAACTGGCTATATACGTATTAGAACTGAGTACAGGCTATATGAAAGCCGCTCAAGTCAGAGCCACAAAGCCCCATCGAGTTTCATTTACAGTTGTTGCCTGCAGTGCAGAGCAGTGCAGCGCCACTCTAGAGGGGGACATGGAGCCATGGCAGCAACAGAACACTTGTGTGTGTGGGGCACGTTAATTGGTGTTTATGAGCGGGCTGGCCCATTAATTAAACAATTTCTTTTCTGCTCTGAGTCAAGAGAACCCAGTGCTGAAAAGCTTCATATCGTGGATATATAAAAGTCTCAGTGTGTGTTTCTATATGTATGTATATGTGGAGTAAAAAAAAGAACAGTTGCTTGATTCGATACACAAAGTGGGATAATGTACAAAATAAATTAGCATTGCTCGTTTGCCAGTGTGGGCGGCAAACGGATTTTGAAATGAGTTCCATTTGGATTCCAGATGGATTCCAGATGGATGTTATGGATCATTTACGCTCCCTCAGCGGCATTCCGTTCAATGTAGAAGGGCGCTCCATCCGGTTTTTTGCATTTGTAGCGCAGCAGACAGCATTCCGGGAAGGGCTTCGATTGATGGATGCGCTCGCCACGATTGCATTTATCGATGCGAAGTTTGCCACAGCTGCACGTAGTAGGAAAGAGAGAGAGAGGTAGAATTATATATATATATATATATATATATATCAACTCTATAAATAAGCATAAAATGAGCTTAAGGCATATGCATGTCAATGCCTTTTGGTTGATAGATTGACCACGATTGAATAATTTTGTTGTTGATTGATTGATAATTGAGTGATGATGATTGATGTATGCTTAAGCTCAACTTGAACGTATTTGGTAGTTATGAAGGGGATGGAACCTGCTAGAAAGCGATTTGAACTTTGTGTCTAGTTGGATTTATTTCTTATGCAGTTGACTGCTTGATTGAACTGCTTTGACTGATTGATACGCTTTTAATCAAATAGAGTTCCGCTAGTTGAAGAGATCTAAAATTTGATTCGCCTTTACAAAATGAAAACGAACAGTTCAGCTTTATTGATTCGTTGTCTCGCTCTAATGCACGAACTCTTCTAATCTACAGGGTATTTTGGGGCAGAAGAAAGCATAACGAAGACTTGCTACTGGGGTATGTGTAATATATGACTTTTTGGGCTGAGGATATGTCTGTCTTTCAGACAAAAAGGCGTGACAATTGCAATCTCTGTCAATATCATTGATTTCTATAGAAAATAAATCGATGAGCTTACAGACAGTAAACCTGGAGGACCAAACAGTTCTCTATTTTTCTATATTTTATCTCTTATTATTTATTAATTTCATCTCTGATTCCTTCTTGTATTTCTGATTAGCTGTCCGAATTATTTATTATCTTTTTTCTTGAATCTGTGACTGGTTAATTTAGGCTTCTATAGCCATGCAGGCATAAAGATTTCAACTTACTTTATCTGCTGCATGTTTCTTCTACAAGCTTCTGGAGAAGTCACAAAGTTTTTTTCTTCTACCCCTTTTCTTATGTTTTCTATAGAAGATGAGCTCAGTTAGCTAGCTTGCTGCTCACTCAGCCCTAGATCAGCTTCTTTATATGTGTATATATGTGAAGATACATGTAGAAGTTCTCGAACTGTTCAGCAGCACAAATTACGCTTAAAACTCAATTCACAATGTTGTTACGATGTCTACTGCGACGCCAGCCTCTTTCTTATCTGTGCAAAACATTTGGAATGTTTGTGTTCGGTTCGGTGTGTGTGTGTGTGCCTGTGTGTGCTTGTGCGTGTGTTTGTCCCTGGCCAGACTCACCCCTCGATAAGTATGGAGCCATCCGCATTGCAAGTAAGCCGCTGACAGGGCGGAATGCCGTTGTTGATGCCCTCCTGCAGCAAATCGCCCCGATAAATGCATTTGCCGGGATTAGCTAAACAACGAGAGACAAAGAGAAAGACAGAGAGAGGGAGAGTGAGTAAGAGAGAGTGTGAGTACTGCTCAGGTAGAGAAACGCTCGTTCGCACCTTCATCGATGGGTATGACAGCTCGGTAGCCGTCTGTGTCCATAGCCAGCTGCAAGAGCATGAGCAGCATGAGCCAAAGGCTTGGGCAGATCAAACCGAATCGGCGGCTTCGTTGGCTGCTCCTCGGATTGGTGAAACGTTGCTCAGACATTGCGACGCGTTTGTCGTTCGAAATGGCACTGGAGGCAACTGCTGCCCGACTCGCTTGTTCCACTTGGGCAACAGCTATCGAAATTTGTCATCGTCAATCGACATCGGCATCAGTATTTCTATTGTTGTTGCTGTTGTTGTTGTTGTTGCGAGTGACTTGGCTTTTGGCTTAGATTCATCAATTGGTTTGTTTTTTGCGCACCCTAACCACGGGGGGTGCTTCAGGCTGCTCTTATAGCGTGACACGCTCAGCTGCCAGCGGGTGGTTTTTCATCCATGAATTGAGTTTGAAATGTGGAATTTTCCAGACAAATAGATTCTAAGAGATTTTTTTGCTTGCACGAGTGTCAGCTAATGGATTGAGCTGTACGTCAATCAGCGGTCAATCACACAAGCAATCATCAACCAGTCACACAGTTATACATATCTATAAGCTAGAGTTTCAGTTGCTGTTCGGCTCGGCTGAGATTACCTTTCAGTCAATCAGACAGTCAATCAGTCAATCAATTACTTAGTCAAATATTCAGTTAGAGAGACTATAGTCTGTGCTGTCGTTTTAGTTCAGTTTGCTAACAAGTCAGTCAGTCAATCAGTCAATTAATCAGTCAGTCAATCAGTATAGGCTGTTATTCTAATATATATAGAGAGACTTTAGTTACAGCTTCAGTTTAGTAACTGATAGATTACATGCTAATTGCTTGGTATGTAAGTCAATCAAATTTTCTGTCAATCAATTCGTCAATCACGAAATCAATCAGCTAGTTCGGAAGTCATTTCGTTATAAAAGCACAGTTCGACTTAGTAATTAGTCAATTTCAAGTTAATCAATCAATCAGTCAATCAATTAATCAATTTCTCTTATCTCTCATGTCTAAGTTTCGATGATTAGTCAGTCAATCAAGCAATAAATCAAACACACAATCAGTCGACTTGATTGGCAGTCAATGATTCAAGGAGTCTGGCAAGCATATATAAATTATGGCTGACTTGAAAGTTAGCTGCAGCTGCACAACAATCAGTCAATCAAATAGTCAATCAGTCAATCAGAGAATTGCCAATATATATGTATAAATACGTATATATATATATATATATATATATATATATAGATTAATCTGAATATTGGTTGTCTTTTTGCTTGTTTTCTTAGTTAATTTTTTTTTTGTCGAACGACGTTTTTGCTGCTGATGTTGGCTGTGATTGATTGATTGATGATACGTGCGCTTTCTATACCATAGGGTATTCGCTGTGCAGCTCTCCGTTTTTTGTACATTTGTTTTTGTTTCCTTTTTTGTGTTGATTATTATGTATTACTATTTAATTGAAGTCGCTGCCGACAGCATCGTGCGCCCCACTCGCCGCCCTCGCCCCACGCCTGCTTTGCGGGTCAGCGAGTTTATCACGCAGATGCTGCCACTGTCTCTGCACAGTCTCTCTCTCCTTCCCGCTCCCCTCGCTGGCTCGCGCTCTCTCTTTCTTTCACTGTCTCATCATTTACAATTCGAGCTGTTGCTTCGGCACTGGGAATTTGTTTTGTTTGTTTGTTCGTGTTTCTGAGTATTTGTGTCGACATCCAATTGAAAGAGCTTCCGCTGCGATCGAGCTTTGGCATCGGGTCTTAAACTACATATATAAATATATATATTAAATACTTAGCTGAGCTTAAAGTCAGACACATTTAATAGAGCTTGAGCAGGGCAACTTTGGAAAGCTCAAGTCGGGTCTGCTCGACTGACAGATGCCCTTGACCCACTTGTCGAGCAACAACTACAAAAGGCATTAGCTTTGGTGATGATCGAGCGATACGAATATGAGCCAAGGCCCTCTAGTTTGGATGGAATGGGGGCGGTATTCGAAATGGGAATAAACTTTACACATTTGTATTTAGTTATCTCTCCCTAGTGAAATGTATGAAATAGGCCCACTAAACTTTTCTGTGTTATCGACTCTTATCGATTTCAGATAATCCGAAAAACTTATCGATGATTTTAAGCCTTTAGAGTTGAAATTCTTTAAGGCTATGGGAACTCCCTGTTAGGTGTATAGGCAGGCGACTTTTCTCAACCATCGATCAACAAACGATATGTATCGATAATCGAAACTTATGCAGAAGTAAAGCAAGTGCAATGTGCAGTAATTTTGAAATTTACAATATAGGGCTTAGGAATGAAACAATAATAGATATTTTGGAATATTTCGTCGAGCGATAAGTATCGATAACACTTAAACGGAACCAAAGCACACATATTAAGTACCAACATTTCGATTTTTAACTAAAAAAGCTTCTTATTGATTAAAAATATAGACAATTATAAGCATGAAATATAGATATGCCAACAATCGATAAATATCGATCAAATATGTATACAAGTCAAGCATATGTAAGAAATTTTTAGATTTCATCTAAGGGGTATGTAAAATTTATGAAACTGTTGTTATTGCCCAATACATAACCTATCGAGAAGTATCGATAACAATTATGCAAAGACAAGGCTCAAGGTTCAAGGGTCTTAGTTATAGGTATTATTGCCTCAAGCAGACAATAATGGAATATTTATTACATATTCATATGCTAAAATCAACAATCAATAACATTTATCGATATATATCACTTCTTTCAAGCACATTGCTGCACTAAAGTTTTTCAAGTTTTTTATATTGTAAATTAATGAAATGCATTCGTTCGGGTTAAGTCAGACCCACACGCACGCACCCACAAGTGTTGTGGCAAGTTGTGCAATTGAATAGACATGTCAAGGAGAGAGAGAAAGAGAGAGCGAGAAAGACAGATAGAGCGAGGGCGTGTAGAAAGTTGAGCTGTGAAGAAAATTGAAGCAAATGTTTATCCTGCTGGCTATTAAATTTTTAATCAAGTTAAAGTGTTGCCAAACACTTCATTCAGGCAGTCAGACACAGACACAGGATGCATGTGTGTGGGTGTGGATGAGGGTGTCGGTGTCGGTGTCGGTGTCGGTGTGGGTGGGTGAAACATGCATCGCCTGTGTTTGGGCTGCGTGTTAGTTATGCATTCATTCATTCATACAGTTAGACACTCATTCAGCGACCTTCATTTCGTTTCATTGCGTTTTCTTGCAAGTTGCCCGTTGCATATGCCACGCCCTGCATGTCGTACTTCGCCCCTTCTTCCACTGGCTTTGCTACATCTTTTTACGACTTCATGAATTCACTTGTTCGCTCTGGCTTTGGCTCTGGCTGGGGCTCTGGCTGTGGCTCTGGCTGCGGCTCTGGCTCCTGCTTTCACAATTGTGGTAAATTAAATGCAAATAAATTGTCAACTGCAGTTAAATAAATTTTTAATTTATTACACAGTGAATGTGTCTCTGGCTGTGACTGTCATTGTGACTCTCACTGTGACTGTGATTGTGACTGTGCACGAAACTTTTGACGTCTTCGCCTTGAGGTGTTATTGCCATGCAGCAGATTGTCAGTTATTCGCTTATAAAGTTAGGCACTTCATTTTGATAGCAGCTCCACTAGAGCAGCTGCTGCTAAGTTGATCGATAACACGTGATAACGATAAATTTTAAGCCGCTCTTTGATGCTCATTTGATAAATGGTGAATGATAGATATCAAATATATGTGACTATAAAATACCCAACAGATTCGGTATGTCGATAAGAAAACAAAATGGCCCACTATCGATATCGATATCGATTCTATGTACCGATATACGGCCTGCCTAAATTTAGTGTCAGCTAAATTAAGAACCACAAATTCTTGGGTGCGTTGACTGCGAGCGTTGGTTCGTAGCCCCTTGACACAGCCAGAGAGCAAAAGAGAGACATAGTGAGAGCGAGGGAGAGAGAGAGTGTGTGTAAGAGAGACGAGCTAATTCACAGTTGATTATCTAAATTAGCAAAATGAGTGACAGGCGAAACGGGCAAACGAGAAAAGTGAGAAGCGCAAAGCGCACAGCCAAAATACTAAAATACTCGCTCACTCAAATTGAATAGGTTGATGAATGAGGACCGAAAACAAAATATATATATATAGCAACAGCATGAGAGTCGGGTATGTGCGACTAGCAGAGAGTCAAAGCAGGTATATATGAAAACGAAATGAGGTAACTCTAAGGGGCTATCCAATTGGACTTCTTCTAATTGGAGAGTTTTAGTTTACCTAGTATACGTGGCTTTGTTACCGGTTGTTATCGATTTCACTGCATTTAGCTATCACTTCTCCTCACTCCCATACAGCAGATGAACAGACACAGCTGGATCAGCTCATCTGTAGATCCAGATCACGAATATATAGGCATACTCTGCACAGTCTATCAACTGGCTCTGACTTACATCAAAGCAAAAACCAATCCACACTTTGCCAATGCCATATGCCTGCAGGGTATTTATGAAGCTCACACAAAAACAGAGTATATAGGAAAAAAAATGGAAAAGAATCAAATGAAAATAGAGACGGGCAATGCCGCGCAACAGTGGAGCAGCTCAGCAGTTGGGGAGCCAAAACAAATTCACTTTTTCAGACAATGTATTCAGTGCAGGGGCGACATTCGCAGCAGCAACGAAAGCGACAGCCATAACATACATACACACTTACACACACACACCCACACACACACTCACACACATACACACACACACGCACACACACACACAGAGCGACACCTGAAGAAAGTGTAGCAAGGCTTCGGCTTCGGCTTGCAGCAAAAAGAAAGAACATCAACGGCTCCGCCCAAATCAAATCATATCAAATTCGCACGTGCCACGCCCCCAATCGAAAGGGAAATATGGGCAAAGTGCTGAGCTATATCTTCGTGGTCAGCTCGCTGATATTGTGGTACCTGCTGCTCTTTGGCAGCTCTAGCGCGGGCGTCGAGGCAACCAACGGCCATGGCATGCAGCTAGAGGGACGCGACTTTCATCATCATGGCGGCAGCCATCACATAAGACGTAAGTCCACGCCAGTTGACGGCAGGTGTATGCAGGTGCAGATTCACAGCAAACTACTTCACTTCACTTCACTCTACTTAAATGCAGGCAACATCAATCACTGCTGGCGTCGCTACGATGGCTACAATCTACAGAACACCATTGTCAACAAAAAGGAGCAGCTGAAGAAACCATATGGCATTCTATGCAACTTCAAATGCACCTGGTTCTTTACAATCAGGTAAGCAGCAATCGATACTCTGCCTCTAGCACCAATGGCCGGCAGTGTCCAGGTACTGCCCCATGCCACAAGCCAATTGGAGATGGCACCGTGAGACGTGCAAGCTTAAAACGAAACGGACTACATCACTTTGTTTGAAGTAGTGCCAAAAAAAGAAAGTCATCGATAGTTATCGATATTAATATTTATAAGAATTTGTGCAGTTATTGAGTCGCAATTTATGGATTAGTGTCATAGTTCTTTAATTAGTGTCAAATATTGATCTATCGATAGTTATCGATAACAGTATAACACTTATTTACAATCATTTTTGATCAAATTTAGTTGCATTTCGTGCATAAGTCTTATAAAATACATAAATTTTATCAATTAGTGCCTAAAAAATTCATCGATAGTTATCGATAAGCATCTACATTTAATTAAAATGAATTTTTATCTAATGGCACCAAAGACATCAAGACTTCTTATACTTATTGAACCAATTATCGGTTTTGCACTTACATTACTAATATCGATAGTATGATTATCGATATAGATGTTAGATACATATCAAGAGACTTTACACTAATTGTTCGAGGAACGATATCGTTTTACTTGGTGTTGATCATTGAACATCTTCCGAGAAGTTCATAAATATCTTATGTATAAGATAGACATCGATAACTATAAGTATCGATAAATTTGTATTATATTTTTTACCATCAAAGTCTCTTTTTTGTGTGCATATTACAAGTGTAAATTGCCATTAAGATATCTTTAGGTATAGTCCTCACTCCACGACAAATAATCGATTAGCACAAATATCGTGTGTTCCATCTCAGTTTCAACCGCGTGACACGAAACATTTTTTAAAGTCTCAATCAAAAGGCTGTCTGTTTTAAGCTTTAAAAACTATGGATGTTACTTCCCAATTTCAAATAGCAAACACAATCGGCTCACGCGTGTCACGACCTGGCCTTGCTCTGGTGCCATAACTAGCTTCGTTTGTATCCGATTGCTGGTCTTTGCTTTACAAAACGAAATTCAATTCAATTTTTACAATATTGTTTGATAACTTCTCTTACTCGAGCTCTCTTCGTCTCATCATCTCTCTCTCTCTCTCTCTATCCGTCTTTTTCGTTGCAGCTATCCCACTTGCGAATTCATCTACGACTACAAGTTATCCTGCGTTTTGTTCACTTCACTGCCCGATTGCACGAACGTCAAGTGCACACTCTTAAACTATTTCAGCTAGACAAAAGGGAAATACCGTGTGCTGCCCGGGTATATGCGCACTCACATTCGGCTATTTATATGCATATATAGATAATTATTGTATTTCTAGTTCAAAGTGCTCTTTATCTTAACTTTTTTTTCTTTTTTTTTTAAGTTAATTTTTATGCTTAAAATAAATTCTAGATAGTTTTATATAAGTTACGTACAGAGTGAAAAAAAATCGTTCAATATCCTACAAAATTTGTGAGTTTGTCTTTTCTTTATATAGCAAGGGAGTACGAATCGAAAAGCTGGTTAACATGGTAACATGGTATTGAGCAATATCTAAGGGCCTTCAACAAAGCTTGCATGATTTATAATTGGGTCTGTATACTATGTTTGGGTATATATGATGATCTAACGAATCTAAAGACAGAAACCTCATCATCACAATATGGCCTAAGTCTATATGGACATATAGTCATCTTAGCTATATATATATATATACATATATTCATTATTCATAGTCCAAGCTTATTGGGCTTTAACTTTTCAGATTCATTGAAATCGATATTTTGTATTTTGCCCATAACTCGAAGACTTCAAGCCCTAAAGACTTAAAATTTGAAATAAATTATTAACAAAGTTAGATATATAGTTCACATAAAGCCTTTTTTAGTTAGCTCCGACATTGCCTAGCCTTAAAGTTAGTAACTTCTACTTTTTATTGAGCATAGCTGCTATACTGCCCATATATAAAGTTAGTTTTCTGCTCTGACTATCTCAAGTAAAAGTGGGAACTAGATGGGATCTATGATTAAGAGATGAAGCTATGGACACTTGAGTTAGGACTTGTGACTGTGCTTTTTCGAGTAATGTGTGTGGCACTGCCTGCAGCACTATATCTATCGCAGATCCATCTAATATATACCGTAATCTTTATACGTCTGGCGACACAGCTGTGAGCGCATCAGATCTATTGCATTTTCCAGTTGAGTGTGAGCGTTCAGTGGCATGTTTACAACTTGTCTCAGTTAAAGCTGATGTTTGAATGTGTGAATTGATTCGCAGCTATTCGATTGTTGATTCAGTTCGGGCCATGTGAATACTGCGAATGCAGCGTGAATGGCAACAGCAACAACAACAAGAGCAATCCTTGATAACTACGGCGACGTGTCTAGCATCGCAATGTTGAAAGCGGATTGCGTATACGCCACGTGTGCTGCGTGCACTCATTCATTCCAAAACACACACACACACACACACTAACACACATTCACTTTGCAGCTGAGTGGCCCATTAAAGTTGCACTCTGTGCTCTTTTCTATTTTTTCTTCTTGTTAGCTCTCAAGTCGATTTTGCACTTCATCTGCTGGCAAAAGACGTGGCCAGCAGGCTATGGCAGCTATCAATGCTATACGAGTGCCACGCCCCATTTGCTTAGCGAGTCAACGCCCAGGCGGCGCAGTGCCTTGGCCAAAAAGCAATTCCCAATTTTTTGCCATCAGTTGCCACGGAAAATGTGCGCAAAACTTGCGACTCAGACATAGAACACACAGGAACAGATCCCCAAAGACTCTGTGAAGTCCATATGTACTTGAGCAGAAGACGCAGAAGCTGAGTCTGTATAAAGCTCCTCGTTATTCTTCCTGGAATATCTTTACAAAAATTTCTTTAAATTTTCTTGGAATTTGATATTTTGGGCATAATTCGAAGACTTTTAGAGCCAATGACTTCCCATTACCTCTGCAGCTTATGGAAGACGAAATGAAGATTAAAAATAATTCCTCTTTTGCATACCTCTTAAATTGCTTTAGAGTATCAAGCAGTCACATACTCCTCACTAGCTCAACTCAGCCTTTTTTAAACTTTTTTCTTAGCAGTAAACAAATTTGAAACACTTTGTTAGACGCGTCAGCTAGAACAGCTATACCTATATATATTTCTCTATACATATATATTTAGGGGTAGGTGGTAAGAGCGCCCTTCACAGCACACAGCCCACAGCCCACAGCCCACAGCCTTTCCCTGGCGCTTACCTGTGCAAACAGCCGCAAATAAATCGTTCGACATTTATAAGCCAGTCAAAGTTATGCTGAAATTTGTGTATTACGTGGCAAAGGGCTGGGCTGGGTGACAGTAGTTGGATGGGGACAGGTGCCCTTGTGGGCGTGGCTGGACAGGTGTTTTGTGTGGCGCTGACTTGGCTTGCCTTGCCTTTGACGCTGGCCTCAAAGTCAGGCTAAAAATAAGATAAATTGTGTGGCTGTAGTCAATGGAGCTGTTAACTTACGCACCTGCGACTCCCATAGAGCTGGCACATAGTGGAAGTGGAAGTGGATGTGGATGTGGATGTGGATGTGAAAGTGGATCTGGCTGTGGAAGGGTTGCGATTGATTTGCACAGCCAAAAAACTCTCCCTCCCTCTGCCACCCGCTCAGCTGCTGGCCATCAACACTACCCTGTAAACAGTTCCCATTTCCACTTTCGCCTTGTTGTTTCGCATTGCGTAGCTCGCAGTTCGCAGTTCGCAGTTTTTTTTTGTTTTTGGGGTCGCACTTTAATGGAATCAAACGAAATGACATTGATCGCTGAAGGCCATCCAACTGCCCTCTACACACACACACATGTGTACACCCTGTTGCCTGCTTCATGCGAAGATCAACAGCAATGCGAACGCACTTCCAAATGTATTTGTTTCCATATACCCCAATTCGATACCCTAGACGCATTCTAAGTGTGTCAACAGGGCATATTGGCTTAGGTGTGCGGACTACATGCGAGCTATATGCCCTTACATATCGATTGTCTTTGTGCCGATAAAATTGAATTGGGGAATTTCAGATTTTCGACAATAACTCGAGAACTTTTGAAATTAGAAACATCAAATTTGATACGCATTCATGTATCAAGCAAATACAAATAGAAAAATTAAAGTTCCTTAAATACCTATCTCTGAAACTTTGGTTACTTGAGAATAGCTCGAGAACTTTAAGGGTTAGCAACATCAAATTAGGTATGTGAGTTCCTGTTAAGTATGTACATATAAAAGCTACATATTTCATTTAATACCTAACTTCAAACTTTGGTTACGTGAGCATAGCTCGAGAACTTTAAAGGCTAGGAACATCAAATTAGGTATGTGAGTTTCTGTTCATCATACACATACAAAAACTACATATTTCATTTACTACCTAACTTCAAACCTTGGGTACTTGAGCATAGCTCGAGACCTTACTCCCTAAAAGTATGCAAGGAACTGAAACATTTCAAACTTTAGATATCTGCGAGTATTTCTTGGCTGACCGCCAGGGTATCCGTCAGCCAGGCTCAGTCAGTCGTAGCACTCGTACTTGTTGTATCTGCATCTATAGCTGTAGCCGTATCTGTATCTGTATCTGTATCTGGGATTTGGGTCGTGGTCGTTGTGCGTTGATTGGGCTTGTTAGATTGTTTAGTTGAATGCGTTTATTGTTGGGCGGGCGCGCGCGCTCGCATTGCCGGACTTCAGTTTCAATGCTGATTGGCAAATTACAGCAATTTTTGAATGAAATTAGATTATTTCGAAATAGTTATAAACAAATTAATTGCGCATTACGCATCACGGTGCACCGCGCATCACGCATCAAGCATCAGCCATCAACTGCAGTCCCCTCAGCTGCAATTTAAAGTGAATCAAATGTGCAGCAAAAGCGCGTGCAAAGCATGTGAAAAATGCATGGCCCGAGTGGGCTGCTCTTTGTTTTTCGACTCCAGTGAAGGAATTTCGCAGTAAATAAATGCTAAAATGAATATTCACTTTAAGTTCAATTCAATGAATTCCACAAGAACAATAGAACAAGTCAAATTTGACTCCGAAAACTTGCAAATACCTCAAGTCTAGCAGAGTCGGGTGCCGTTGCGAGTGTGTGCTGGGAATTCAAACTGAAATTCACATTGTGATTGACAGGGCGCAAAATGCTTTTTATAAATAGCACAATAAAAGTATCTACAAATTATGAGAAACAGCTCAGGCAACTATTTGCCGCTTAAGTTGACAGCCAAGCTGACAGAGAGCGAGGCAGCCGGACAACTGGATGTCTGACTGATTGACGCAGCAACAGAAAAGGTGTCAACAATTTCATCTGATGCGAGCAGCAATTGAGATGGAGATACAAAAGATACATTGATAAAGATGTTGAGTGATGTCAGCAAATAGGAAATCCAAATAGAAGTGAGACTTACTTAAAGAGCAGGGAAAAAAATACAGATACAGATACAGATACAGATACAGATACAGATACAGATACAGATACAGATACAGATACAGATACAGATACAGATACAGATACAGATACAGATACAGATACAGATACAGATACAGATACAGATACAGATACAGATACAGATACAGATACAGATACAGATACAGATACAGATACAGATACAGATACAGATACAGATACAGATACAGATACAGATACAGATACAGATACAGATACAGATACAGATACAGATACAGATACAGATACAGATACAGATACAGATACAGATACAGATACAGATACAGATACAGATACAGATACAGATACAGATACAGATACAGATACAGATACAGATACAGATACAGATACAGATACAGATACAGATACAGATACAGATACAGATACAGATACAGATACAGATACAGATACAGATACAGATACAGATACAGATACAGATACAGATACAGATACAGATACAGATACAGATACAGATACAGATACAGATACAGATACAGATACAGATACAGATACAGATACAGATACAGATACAGATACAGATACAGATACAGATACAGATACAGATACAGATACAGATACAGATACAGATACAGATACAGATACAGATACAGATACAGATACAGATACAGATACAGATACAGATACAGATACAGATACAGATACAGATACAGATACAGATACAGATACAGATACAGATACAGATACAGATACAGATACAGATACAGATACAGATACAGATAAAGATACAGATACAGATACAGATAAGATTACAGATACAGATACCGATACAGCATACAGGATACAGATACAGACTGTACAGATACAGATACAGATATCACGATTACAGATACGATACAGATACCGATACAGGATACAGATACAGATGAGCATGCTACAGCTACAGATACAGATACAGATACAGATACAGATACAGATACAGATACCGATACAGATACAGATACAGATACAGATAACATGATACAGATACAGATACGGATCAGATACAGATACAAGATACAGATATAGAGATACAGATACAGATACAGATACAGATACAGATACAGATACAGATACAAGATACAGATACAGATACAGATACAGATACAGATACAGATTACAGATACCGATACCAGATACAGATACAGCTACAGATACAGATACAGATACAGATACAGATACAGATACAGATTACAGATACAGATACAGATCAGATACAGATACAGATACAGATACAGATACGATACAGATACAGATACAGATACAGGATACAGATACAGATACAGATACAGATACAGATACAGATACAGATACAGATACAGATACAGATACAGATACAGATACAGATACAGATACAGATACAGATACAGATACAGATACAGATACAAAGTCCATTTATGTCAACTTATGCGTGGGTTTTGGGCATGGTCTGTGCACTGGACACTGCAGTTACTCACAGATATTCACAGATACTCACAGATACTCACAGATACTCACAGATACTCACAGATACGCACAGATACTGTGACACACTCGGCTCTCGCCTCGGCGAGTGCGATAATTTATCAATTGATCAATTGTCATCAATTTAGGGGCAACAGCAACAAAACACAAGCTTGTGGCATTTCTTTGCTGTCTTGGCTTCAGTCTCTGTATGTGTGTGCGTGCGTGTGTGTGTGTGCTTGTATTGTTATAGGCTTCGTTAGACGTGGCGCACATAAAGCGGATGGCAGTTAAAAACGCGTTGAACATCGAGGCGCTGTTGCCCGGGCACAGGCGCTGAGAGCAGACACCAACAATAACTGGAGCATGTTCGACGGGGACGGTACTATCAATGATTGTTATGCAATGGCCAAATCGATAACAGCAGCAACAACAACAACAGCTACAACAACAACAATTACTGCGATACACACACGCAAAGGCACAACGACAATCACATTTGTGTTGCTCTTAATTTTATGCTGTCTATGTGATTACAATTATGGCAGTACGTATATCGAAACGCCTAGCGTCTATCGTTTATCGCTTATCACTTGTGTGCATTTTTTTTAATTTTTTGTTCAATTTTTGTTTTGTGCGGCGCTAATATAAAGCCTATTGGAAATTGCATCAATTATCAAGCGGCGCACGCTGCGTATGCGTAATGCAAGTGTGTGTGTCTCTGTGCGCGTATTAATGAGCGTTCAAAATGTAATTTGATGTATATGGCGCATATTACGCATACGCCGTGTCAGCCTTCACAAAATTGTTTATCATGGAGCGAAAAACTCACAGAGACACACACCACACACGCACGCATTTTTGGTCTAAAACTAAATTCAATTTGAGTTTAAAGTGGTTGAAAATTATTTAATGGAAATGTGTGTGAAAGGCGGCGAGGATAGCGAATGCGGCGCATTGACGTCTATAAATATTTCTGAGTGAATAGTTTCAGTTGAACCCTTTGTCATTAGATATATATAAACAATTTCTATATCAGATCATATATCTATCTATCTATGTACGTATTCATCAACTCAATATATATTCGGCTTAGGTTTTATTTCTTTGAGTTTTAGAAGCTAACGACTTCAAATTTGACCATGTTCTAGGTATACGTATATAGAATGTATTCATTTTTCTGGATACATATTTCTCATAAATGATTTCGTGAGCATGGCTCACGCACTATAAGATCTATAGACTTCAAATTTGGTATGCAAGCCTTAAAGATGTATTTAAATATAAAAAGTTTTTTATTATTCGGATAACTTTCTATGCAGATGTTAAAATCGAACTCCTTTTTGGCTACCTTTCTTCACGATTTGGTAACTTGAGCATAGCCAGAGAACTGAAATCTGAACTCTTTTGGAGAGTTGATTCGTTAGTCGGCTACTGCCGACTGTGCCGCGCTCGCTTTAAATTTCCATTGTTAGCCACTCAATTATGAGCTGGAATTCGTGTGCCGTAAACAATTGAAAACACGTTTGCTGTTGGCCTGCATTGATATACGTTGATGGTTGGGGGTTACAGGCTGGGCCTCGCAGTGCTGGAAGAAGCACAACTCGGGCTCGATACAGACGCCGGATGGTGAATTCAAGCGCCCGTTTGGCATACTCTGCACATATCGCTGTTTCCTCTGGTTTCCGCCAATGTAAGTTCAATCACATAACCCTAACCGCAACCCCTATAGTCTAAACCCCATGTACCGTACAATTTACAATTTATGTTATTTTCAACTTGTGTGTATTGCATTTTAAAACAAAACTTGCCAAGTCGCCCACCCTCAACGGGGGTGGCGGGCGCGCGGGCAGCTTTGCTTTAGCATAACAATTAAAATAACTGCCAGCGTCGGTATAAATATTTCAGCGTTGCAAATAATAAAGTAAGTGCACGTGTCGAGTATTTACAGCGCCAACTATTCACAACTATTTCAAAAGCTGTATGCACTTTGAGCCAAACTGCAGCATGCAGACGTTATTTGGAACTATCGAGCCAGGGATATTTCTGTTTGGCCTTCAGACAGGCATTCAGTGCAGTCTCATAGATCTTTCAATCTGATTAGCCTGCTTTGCTTTTCATACTAGCTTTCACTTTTATTCCCAATTCGTTTGTTGATCAATAATAAAGTAAGATGTAAGTTGAGTGAGGATCATCAGTCACTCAATCAGTCAGTCAGTCAATCATTCATAAGAGATACAATCAGCTCTGCAGCAGATGAGATACAGTTTATCAATTAAGCCGTTAATCATCAATCATTTAGTTAATCAACCAAATCAGTCAATCAATCAATCAAGAAATCGTTCAATCAGACAAGCAATCTACAGTCAATTACAGTAGTCAGTCAATCAATCAATGAATCCTTAATAAAAAGTACAGTTGAGATACAGCCAGTTAATAAGTCCGTCAGTCAATCAGTCAATTGATTACAATCAATGAATGCATCCATCAATCAGTCAATCAGTCATTCTGAGTCATTAAGTCTTAGAGTCTTAAATCTGATACAGCTTAGATACAGAGAGTTAATAAGTCCATCAATCTGTCAATCAGTCAATCACTTGTCATATGTAGACAGATTTAAGTCTCCTTCAACTTCAGTTAGCCAACCAGATAGTTACTGATCAAAGCAATCCCTATTATGTATATAAATCGATTACAAACATCACTTTATTCTATATCGATATGTCTCTAATCCAAACTTATCTATTATAATATTGACAGCTATCCGTATTGCGAGTTCATCTTTGATTTGCGTTTATCGAGGCACTTCACATCGTTTCCGGACTGCTATGAGATACGCTGTAATGAGACGTTTACGTTCTTTGGCAGCGAGCCCAACTATTGATCGTCAGCATGGTTCCTTTTGCTGCACAACTATCGATAACGCTATCGATGGTCGTAAAATTGCATTACATATGCATATGAGTGGGTAAAAATTGGATATAAGCAGTATTCCAGCTATGCTATTAATACATGTATCGATTAATTACCATGTTGGTGTTATCGATAATTATGCAGCTCTATTATATATATTATAATATGTTTTTTTTTGCCTAACTTTAATTTCTATGCATTAATAAATATTTACTGAAAATATTAACCGATCGTTTTTATCGATATTTATCGATATTTTTCTTTTTCACAATTCCAACCTGTGGTTAAGACATACAAAACAATCAGACAAGGGTTTAAGCTAATTTAAATTCGCTAAGCATATCGCTTGTAGTCGATGTGGGGTTATCGATATATTTTTATCCAGCTGAATACTTTTTTGAGTAGAAATTTAACCTCAAATATTGGTTAATTAAGAAACTCTCTGTGTTTATTTGTCTAACGAGTGAATTGAAGTTTGTTTATCGATTGTCAAACAGTGCTATCGATAGTTGTCTGGCTCACCCTTACCGCAGTTGACTGTTTCATCTACCTTTGTGGGCATAACTTAATAAATTTTTAGCCGAATAAAAAGCTCGATTCAAGAATTTGTGGAAATGCCCTGACAAGGGCGTGGCAATTGGCAAGAGGAGAAGGCGGTAGGCAGGTGGAGGTGAAGACGAAGAAGAAGGAGTCGCTTCTGGTACCTGCTGTTTAGATTGTTTACAGTAAGTAGTCCAGGCCTCCCCCGACTCCCGACCAGCGCCCACGACCACTGGCAGTGCGCAGTGAAGCCTACTGCCTGCTGGAGCTGGCATGGACAGGAATGTCCATTAATTTGCGACGACCTGCTGGCAATTTCCTCTGGCAGCGCATTTTAGTTGGTTTATTTCCGCCGAAAACTGTTTGCTTGTCCATAATAAAGAACAAGCTGGCGCCGTATAAACAAAAGTGCCAGACAAAGCAGCCACGCAGACATACAAAACAAGCCAGCCAGTCAGCCAGCCGGCCAGACGGACGGACAGACAGACAGACAACAATCCGAGCAGCCAAAGGACGGAACAACAAACTCGGAAATTCTATCCGCAAAAATTTGCATAAAAATTAGCATTCTAATTGACATGAGGCCCAACAAAATGAAGTAACCAGGCGCAGAGACCAGTTAAGTGTCTCTCTCTCTCCCCCTCTCTCTTCCTATCTCACTCCCCCGTTCTCCTTGTGCCTTTGTCTTGGCTTTGGTGTCGAGTTAATTGTTTGTTTAGTGTCATAAAAATACAGTTTACGCCTTTCGCAACAAGACGTGCAGACGCGGCCACAATAACAGATACGTTTAGCTTAGCCCCACAATCACTGCTCAACTAACAGATACCCTGTAGACACGTATTTATGTATGTAGTTGCCTTATGTCAGAATTGATGTATGTCGCAAGTTGCACAAGCAGGTAGAAAATATGCCGAAGTTATTTCATGTATTTTGCATACCCAGTGCAAAAGTGTACCTATAAGTGGGTATATTAGTTTGGTGCTCGGGTGGAGCTTGAGAGTCGTTTTACTATACACAAGTGTGGGGTCTCTCTCGCAGTATCATTGCTACCTCATTATCTCTCTCTCTCTCTCTGTCCCTCTTTCTCTCTGTATATAGAGCTCTCTCTCTCTCTCTTTCACTGTTATAAATCGTCTGAAGTTTCTTACTAATACATTACGAAGAAGTAATTCTCTCTCTAGAGAGGCTAGCTCTGTTTGACACCTTCCCTGTTGCTCTTTCATTATCTGCCTTTGACACCAGGGATTCTTGAATTTTGCTTTCTCTCTCTCTGTCTCTTTCTATGTAACTCTCTCTGTCTCTCTCTTAATCTTTCTTTATCTTTGTCTGTCTTGGTCTCATTGTCGCTATGACTAATTCCCCTCTTTCTTTGTCGATGTCTCCCTTCTCTCCCTCTCTGTCCCACTCTCTCTCGCCCTCTCCTTCTCTCCCGCTCACTCTCTACCTGTCACCGACTGTACATCTCATTGTCCATATAACCCCATGCGAGCACCATTTGCAGGTGTAGGGTATGGCAACAAAGGCTACGTATTGGGCCACGTGCACACAAAAGGGTCGCATCAGACAACGTTTGTCGCTGGCAAAAACTTTTAACTTTCACAAACTTAATTGCTGGCTGCTCGTTGGGGCGCAACGTGCTTCAAATATAAGAGCATGGCTGCCGCTTCGCCCCCGGCCGTCCTCGCCGTCGCCCTGGAGAACATCTTCAGGATGCGAGCACAAGGATCTGGCGTCTGCTGCTCTGCTGACCAATAAAGGCAAAGCGTTGGGGGCGGCATGCCGGGGGAGGGGCAGGTATTGGTTAAAGTGTTCGCTTTGTTCCCTCAGCTAGAGTTTTCATAATAAATTTTAATATAATTAAATTACTTTAAAAAAATACTTGAAAACATTGTTACAGCTGATTGAAACCGCAAACAATTGCATTTGCCACTAAGGGGGAGAAACTTGAAAGGAATATGCCAAGTCCAGGGCACACGAAACGTATATACAACATATATATAAATATATATATATATATAAGTATTTTTATATACATGCATACATTAGCTTAAAGCTATTTTACTGAAAGGTCTTTCGATAGAAAGGGATAACAAAAAAGTTCAACTGATGGAAGCGTAAGGAGAGAGAGATCAGAATATTTAGACAGAGTAAGAGAGAGAGAGGCAGAAGAGAGAAAGAGAGAGCGAGAGAGGGACAGAAGAGAGAATAAACGAATGAGGCAGAGATAAAGAAGGAAGCTGAACAGTGAATGCAATGAAAACGAGTGGAAAAGTAAGTCCAAAAGAGCCAATGATAAAGAACGAAGCAGGGAGAGAGAGAGGGAAACTAAGAGAGCGAGAGTTGCGGAGTTATGGAGTTCGATACACACAGAGAGAGTCGAGAAATAGAGCGAGAGAAGATGTTGTTAACTATATGGAACTTGACAATGGATTGCAATGAACTCATATCATTTCAATATCGATAAGTATCGATATTTATAAAGAGATAAAACTATATAGAAATGCAAAGCGTGAAGCAAAGCGTGAAGCACAGCTGCTCAGCAATGGGCTCAGAGTAGGTTTTGTCTGTTAAGATATATATATCCATGTACAATGCCGATATCAGCCACTTATCGATATACATATATTCTATGGCGTGCCACATGGCGTATGCGCAACTTATTGCTGCAAGTAAATATTCAAACTGCAATTATGCATCCGATTTGCTTATCGTTGCGCTTCGAGTTGCTGCTGGGGAAAGTTATTTAACTTTTTACGTTGTCATTTGGCACAAAGTTTGCCATCGGCGGGTGAGTGGGCGTGGCAGCAAGCACTTACTTGCGTTCAAAAGAAATTCTAAGAAATTTTGTTACACGATTTGTGCACTCGACGCTTCATATATGATGGCATATATATATATATTTGTATGCATACATGTATATAGATATATATATTTATAAATATTCGACTTTTTTGAAAAACTTTTACTTTTCCATCGTCAGTTGCTGCCGGCCCACTCGAGGAGCAAGCGCAACTTGCAGAAGTTGCAGCTAGAGCGTAACCAGTGTTGGTTAGTGCAGTTTAGTAAGCACTGCCAAGATACTTAATATACCTATATATGTAAATATATATACTTAAAGGTGTATATAAAGTCAGTCTGTTTGAGAGCAAGTCTCAGCAAGGTCTTAGCACTTGAGTCGCCTTTCACAGCCAAAGCTAGCAATAATAGGCAAATATAGCATTTACTATTTATTATTTTCGCACACTGAACGGGTATTGCTGTAGTCAGGCATACCCAGCTGCCATGCCTTGCGCATTTCTTTTAATAGTTCGAGAAAGTTTTGAGTCTTAACTCTGCTGGCTTAAGTCGATTTGTAGCTAAGAGTTTGACAACTGTAAATACAAAATTTAGTAACTATGCAGCTCTAGCTGTCTCTCTCTCTCTCTTTGATTGTCTTTCTCCCTCGCCCCTCTCGCTGTGTCTCTTTGTCTGGCTGCACTTGACATTTGATTTGTTTGTTTGTTTTATTTTTATGATGTTTTTATTTTGATTTGCTGCCCGAGCTTTAACTGGGCGACAATTTCGCATAATTTGGGCGGATGGCCGTTGTTTTGTTGGCACCGAGTGAATGTACTCACAACTAGTATTCATATTCATATTCATTTGCGACGGCGTCGCTTGCCGCAGCGCAGCGCAGCGAGCCTCAGACCCCGTTTTTGTATCAACAAATTTGCATTTGTTAAGTTGTTTTTCGTTTTGTTTGTTTGTTGATTTAATCAAGTGTCGCGGCCAATTTAACTGCCACACACACACGCACACACATATATTTGCATATGTATAAGAGTTGATATAACATTGCGTATACGTAATATTGTGAATAGCCCAAGCAAAGCCAGGCTGAACAGCCAGCTAGATAGACATACACACACACACACACACAAATAAACACACACACACACACACATAAATACATACACATACATGTGAGGTGATAGAACATTGCGTATACGTAATGTCGCGCAGCAAACGCTCGGTGCTTAGTAGCCAAAGAACAGCCAGGCTGAACAGTTAGGTAGAGCACATAGAGCGAAAGAGAGAAGGAATATCAAAGCAAGACAGAGCGAGAGGGACAGAGACAGAGAGAACGAGAGAGATATATACACATATAGATATATCTAGCGAGCGAGAGAGAGCGAGATAGAGAGCATGTATCTGTTGCAATTGCTAGCTGCTGCATGGCTAAGCCTGACCTGGCTAAGCAGCTGCCAAGGCTTTGGCCAGTTTCACATGAAACGCTATCAGCTGCAACGCGGCTATAATCCAGACGATTCCAGCGAGAATGACAATAGCGTATTACGTAAGACATATATATATATATATGGCGCATATATCTATCAATCGATATTCACTCTATTGTTTTACAGGCTCCTACCGGCGCTGCATGTGGGAGCAATCGAAGTTCCTGCCGCGTCGGCTCGTCCTGCTGAGCCTCTGCTCGAATCTGTTTTGCGAGAACAATCAAATCATGCCGCGCTCCAGGTCAATTTTCGTAGTGGAAAAAATGTCTAGACCGAACGAGTAGTGAAAATTAATTATTAACCAAAATGCATGAATGCACCCATTCACAGCCACCTTGACTCCTGCCTTGGCTAATGCGAACCTTTTCTCACACCTCTGTTTACTCTCTCAGCTGCTTGGACATTCTGCCGGACCAGTGCGAGCAGGGCGACGAGGAGGACCTGATGTACAAGCCCTTTCCCGATTGCTGTCCCGTCTACTGCAATCTGAAGCGTCGCATGCAGCGCTTGCGGACAATGCACTTGCGCCATCGCATATTGCGCAATATGCAGGACTCGGTTTCGTCCTCCTCCAGCTCCGATGGGAATACCCTGCTCAGCGAGATGGGCTACAACAACTACTGATGCTGGCCATTGCACGTGCACTTTGTCAACTCTCTGTGTGTAGGCGCATAAGCTGATTGGCAATTGTGTTGCACCGTTTCTTTTCTGATTGGAATGCGGCTATTCGAGTTGGAATTCGGGCTTGGGCTCGTTTGTCTAGACGAAGCACTTGAAGTCTGGCCAAAAGCATATAAGTTTACTCTACTCTATCGAATATTAAATATCCTACTGTCAAATATTCAACAAGAAAGTCTTCAATCAAGTTCAATCAATCACTCGCACTCAGTCAATCAATATTGATTGATTGATGAAAATGAACTTTATCAAGTTCTGTAAAAAGCAATATCAAACAATCAATCAGTCAATCAATCAATCAATCATTTATTCACTATTTAAGCGAGGCAATAGACTGAGACAAGCATCAAAGTGAATCTTCGGATCGCAGCTAATACGCTCCACGTATACCCTGTCGGCTGAGGGTGTACACAAATTAGGGTGAGCCAAAATAACTTGAACCCCTCGAAATACTTGGCGACAGTTGGCGGCTGCTCTTGTGACTGGCTGGCATTGTCAAGTGCCTGGACGGGCATGTCCAAGTAGAGACTGCTCGACTCCAATGGAGTGAAGAAGCTGAAGAAGCAGAAGAGGAAGCTGAACAAGTTGCGGTCGTTGGGCAAACGGAATCTCTGGCGTCTTGAACGAGTCGCTCATTAATGATGCTCTCGCAGGCAACTCATAAGTGGGCATATAGGTTTTGCAAAGGGAATCTTAAGGCTCCTGGAAGTTAAAAGAGGGCATATTGGTTTATGTCTAAACGATTAAGAATAATAGTTAAAAACTGTATTTCACTCTCTTCATCTTTCAATCACCTTTCAATTGCTTTTCATTTGGGCCTTAAGCGAGTATTAAGCAGTCGGCTACGCTCGACTCATGCAGCTCTGTGCCTTTCTTGTGCTTGACTGCTTTAAGAGCATGGTTTGTATGTGGACAACATGAGGTAGTCTTCGGCTGAGATCTTGAGCGAGTATCAAACCGTCGGTATTGGGCAGATGCTCATTAATAATTTGCATTGCTCTGGCACCTTTGCAGCTTTAATTGCATTTTGGCTATTGTCTGGGAATGTCTTGAGCAGTTCTCTCTCAGTCGTCGCAGCTATCGCCTGCTTGCTGCCCCTTCGCCTGCTGTGGCTGCTACAGCTGCTTCTGTGCCCTTTGTGCTGCATGGCTTTATGGCTTTATGATGCTGCATTTCCTGTTGCAGCAATATTCTTGATGTTTGCTACGCTGCCGCGCGCTGCTTATCGTTTTAACACTTTTACGTGCCGCACAAGGCTAAGCAAGTTTCGTCTTCTTGCTGCTCTCCAGCCACTTCTTCTACTCATCTTCTTTTTCATCTTCCTCATTTTTATCAGCAAACAAGCAATAAATTTTATTTTAATAAGCAACACTTTTGATAGCCCAGCGTCGAGGCTGAGCTCCTTGCCATGGGGACCTTCGCCTCGGCGCATTATCATTGCTGTCGTTGTCGCTGTCGCAGCAGCTGTCCCTGTGCCTCTGCCTCTGCCTCTGCCTCTGCCTCTGCCTCTGCCTCTGCCTCTGCCTCTGCCTCTGCTTCTGCCTGTGCCTGTCCTCTTTCTCTATTGCTGTCGCTGTTCCTGTCCCTGTTGCATGTTGCATGTGGCGCAGAAGTAAATACAAAAGATACAACTACCCATAACTGTTCGCTGTCATAACGTTTGCAACCGCAGACAGTGGCGCCACCTAGCGGGGCTCGATGACAACAGAGAGATAGGCAAAGAGAGGGACAGAAACATACAGAGAGAGAGAGAGAGTAGAGTATATAGATTATACAAAGTATTTAGAGTATATAGAGTATATAGAATATACAGAGTATAAAAAGTATATAGAGTATAATGAGTATATACAG